AGCCCTTTTACTTCCAAAAATCTGCTTTTCGATCAGCTTGCCAATCCAACCGCAAGGAAACTAAACTTTAGAATCTCCTTACCATTCATAAGTCTCTATGATCAAAGTACGCACCAAATACTGTCCCTTTAAAAAAACTAACCGCTTTTAGTACAGATCCTGGTCGCTGCTCCACTTTAGCCACCAGAGGGCCGACGATTCACTTTAAAGACAGAGTCTGTGGTTAGGTCACATGACCTAACTTTCCACTGTTCTCCTTCCTGAAGAAAGCATTAGTCCCGCCTCCCTCTTCGCCTCTCGTCGCCAACTTTTGGGGATGTTTACATCAGCCGAGAAAGGATGCCAAAGTCTCTAAGGTCTGTTTAAATGCTCAGCTCTCTTTTGGAAAAACTCTCAGCTACAGTCCATAGCCACAGTTTGATCAGTCCCTCCTTCTATGCTTTCGCTTTTGCTTAAAACGTCAGGAGATAGGTCGTCCTCCCCCCCCCCCCCGTTTATACGCTTATAGTAGGGGGACTTCACATCTAGGCTTTGGTGTCTCGTTTCAACGACAACTCACTTATCAGTCCTTGAATCGATCCACCAGGTCCTAAGACGGCCCCTGGGATCACACCAGGCAGAGAAAATCGCTAAACCTCCAAGCACTTGTTCCGGTGGTCGCTTCTAATCTAATACTGGGAATCAGGGCAGGACCTTCAGGGCAGAGAGTAGCCCCCCTGTACCGGCTGCCGGCCGGAGGTAGGGCTCTCCAAAGCCCCCTGGCTAGAAGCCCATTGTCTCCATGGGGGAGCGTGCACAATCATGCTCCCGCCTAATCCCCAATTTATGGCACACGTCTCTCGGAGGAGCCAAGAGATGTTGCCATCATTGAAACGCCCAAACCAGAAGCTCCCATTATAGGGTTAACTTGTTTACCATCTCTACCATTGTTTAGACTGACCTGGAAGGGAAACCTGGCACAGGGCCAATGGGGAGAAAGCCCGCGAAAAGTGGTCTGTATTGGTTACTGGTTTCAGGTGTCTTCCTTTCTAGGGGTAAAGAAGAAGCAGATTCTCCATTGTTGTGTATTCAGTGTAACCATGCTTTCCTAACAGTAAGATGTAGAAAATGTAGCTCTTAGATATGTTTGTTATTTTGTTAGGTTTCCTGTGTACCTTTACCCTTAGAAATAAAGTTTTTTCAACAGAAAGAAATCTCTCCAGTGAAGCAAAGATCCATTGAAACTCTGAGTAATTAAGTATTTTTGACTATTTTCCAACAAAAGGAAGGAGCTGTACACACAATTCCTTGGCATGGTTGTTGAGACCCCTTGGGACAGGTCTTAGGGAAGGCATGGGGCACACTTAGAACCCCGGAAAGGGGGGCCAGTGGGAATGCATCTTCAGTGGGTCAGATCACAGATGCTAGCAGGGTTATGACCTCCTGGGGCAAAAAGACCCACTGAAATCAATGATGAAGGATCCAGCTGCCAGACCCCCTGGTTTAGGTGGGGGTCCCCTGACACCAGGCCCTGCCCCCCAACTGCTGATCAGCTGGGAGGTGGGGGGACTTACTAGTAGAAAGAGGAAGGCCCAGGCCACATTGCTGGTGTCGCACAGGAAGTGATGTCATCACACCGGCGACTTCCAGTTGACGCGCTGGTATTTGGGCAAGAACTCTATGGTAGAAGCCAGTTTTACCATAGAATTTTTGCCTATGTACCAGAATATTGCCTGGAAGTTGCTGGTATGATGGCGTCACTTCCTCTCCGATACCAGCGCCATGAGCTGGGCCTTTCTCCTGGTAAGTCCCCTTCATCCCCCACTGGTTGCCTAATGAAAGAAGTGCTGCCTGCACATGTTCAGAGAGGCTTTTTTCAATCCACTAGCCATCTCACAGGTGGAAAGAGAGCCAAAAAAACCAGTGAATTGGGCAGTTTGTGAGGGCCCAGGGACAACGTTTAAATCTCTCCCTTAGCGAGGTCCAGCTATGTAACTGAGCTGACGAAAAAGATTCATACAAAGTCTTCCGGGCGTTGCCAGGAGGAGAATAATTCAGCTGAGTTTGTCCGCTTCTTCCCTGCCTTCATTTGGGCAGTGAGAGACTTCACTCTGCAGCTGGAGATGGACGGACGACCTGTCACTGAGGACGAGTACCTGGAGAGTGCCTTGAAATTGCAGAAAGGTGAGAGGGTCACAGAGCCTCCATTTCAGTTTAGTGTAGTGGTGTAGTGTAGAGAGCCAGTTTGGTGCAGTGGTTAAGAGTGTGGACTCTAATCTGGGAGAGCTGGGTTTGACCTCGGGTCAGCCACAAGTTCTCTCAGAGTTGTTCTCCCAAGGGCAGGTCTCGAGAGAGCTCTCTCAGCCCCACCTACTTCACATGGTGTCTGTTGTGGGGAGGGGATGGGAAAGGGATTGTAAGTCACTCTGAGACTTCTTCTCTTCATGCTGAGATGCCATATTTGCTACCTGGAGCTGCCTTCCCTTGAATCCACGAATCCTCTGTCTGAACTTTGCTTATAATCTCAGCTCCTCTCTTAGTATTGTTCTGAGTGGGCAGACAATAAGATGGCATAGAACCAAAGGAAGCTGTCTGTAACCACTAGCCACTGATTGCTGTAAAAAGCAAAGATGTGCAACTTAGTTTCTGCCGTGTGCTTAGCTCTATCCTTTGACCACTCAGTTCCACCCTTTAACCTCTTGGTGAATAGATATTTCACATGCTTGTAAGTTCACTGCTACTGTCACTGATGGCCTGCTTTTCTCTTCCCCCCTACCTTTTCCCCTAGGAAACACAGAGCCAATCCAGAAATGCAACGCGCCCAGAATATGCATCCGCAAATTCTTTCCTTCCCGGAAATGTTTCACGTTTGACCGTCCAGCTAACAAGAGGAAATTGCAGCGGCTGGAGGAACTGGAAGAGGAAGATCTGGAGCCGGACTTCTTGGAACCAGTGAATGATTTCTGCGAGCACGTCTGGAACACCTCCCGACCCAAGACGGTCCCAGGAGGCCGGGTTGTCAGCGGAACAAGTGAGGAGCGTTCCTGAGAAGTCATATAGGTTGGGGCTAATAAGCCTTTTTAGTTGCACCCAATAATAATGGTGTTGGCCATGCTGGGAGATCTCTCAGAGCCCTTCATGTGTTCAGACTGCACTGCAGTACGCTTTAGTGTTCCACACTCACATATAGCACACTTGAAATTGTGTTCTTGGGTAAAGAATATGCAGATTCATGGCTATGACTGTCTTGCTGCTATTAACGATCAGTGAAAGAGTATTGGTATCAAAAAGGAACTTGGTGTAAGGATGTCATAATCCTGGGCCTATAGCGGTGCGACCTGCAGGCTCTAGCGAGGCCTAGTAGCTCCAGGGAAGCCTGCATTGGAGTAGCTATCAGGGCCTACATTTCCCAGGTTCCCTCTGGACCCTGGTGTTATCATCCTGGGCCTATAGCGATGCAGCCTGCAGGCTCTAAGGAGGCTTAGTGGCTCCAGGGAAGCCTGCATTGGAGTCGCTATCAGGGCCTACATTTCCCAGGTTCCCTCTGGACCCTGGTGTTATCATCCTGGGCCTATAGCGATGCAGCCTGCAGGCTCTAAGGAGGCTTAGTGGCTCCAGGGAAGCCTGCATTGGAGTCGCTATCAGGGCCTACATTTCCCAGGTTCCCTCTGGACCCTGGTGTTATCATCCTGGGCCTATAGCGATGCAGCCTGCAGGCTCTAAGGAGGCTTAGTGGCTCCAGGGAAGCCTGCATTGGAGTCGCTATCAGGGCCTACATTTCCCAGGTTCCCTCTGGTCCCAGTGATTGGTTAATAGGGGATTTTGGAGGGGAAACTACACCAGCAGGGGAGCAGAGGGTGTGGCCTGGGAATAAGGAATAAAAGGCCTGGCCCAAAGTGGGAGGGTGTTCTCTCCCTCAGGGAGCATGGCTGGTGAGGATGCTGCAGAAAGAGGGATCCCTCATCCGAAAGGGGTGAATCAGTCTGAGACCAGGTACCTGGGAAGGCTAAGACCATACGGTCAGATGCATTAGGATCAGGGCCGGCTTGCCCGCTAGGCGAACTAGGCCTTTGCCTAGAGTGCGAGCCGGCCATTAGTGCATGGGAGGAGAGGCAGGGGTGGCCGCTGACAGCCTTTCGTCGCCCGCAGCCCGGGGCAAGAAGGGCGGGGGGAAGGGGGCCGAGGGGAGCGCTGGCCAGGCCCGTGGCCAGGCCGGCAGGGAGCCAAACCGCAAAGCCGCCGGCCCAATCAGCGCCCCTGAGACGCTCCTCCTCCTCAGGTAGCCTCGGGGCCGACGGGGGGGAGAGGCGAGGTGCCCCGGGCTGTCCTGCCTGCCTGCCTGCTTTTGGCCTGGCTTGGGGCCGCCTGAGACTGCCCGCCCACCCGCTGCGCCCGGAGGAGGAGTCGGAACGGCCACCGCCACTTCCCCGTGAGAAAGCCCCCACCCCGCCCAGAAGAAGCTGCCCCCCTGCCGCCGGTGGAGCGCAAGGAGCGGGGAATTTTCAGTGTGACCCTAAAACCACTGTCTAGTATGGATTAGATCTGCTTCAGATTGCTGGCGTGAGTTTGCTTTTGTCGGTCTGAATTTTCTTTTTTCCCCCTACTCAACCGCCCTGTTTTCTGAGATGGCTGAACAGCCTGGGATACCCTTGGAGAGCAACCCTGTGTGGAGTTACTCCAGGGTAGCCCCGTTAAGTTGCACAGGGTGTCGCTGACGGCAGCCTGTCTGGCTGAAGAAGTCCCAAGAAGAAGTCCCAGCCCTGCCAGGATGGTCTCCAGGCCCCGCCAGGAGGTTGGCATCTGCGCTCGCCTAGAACGCAGGACAACCTCGGGCCGGCCCTGATTAGGATTTATTATTTTACTGATTTACCTACCTTTACTGGGCTCATTATTCCTACATGGCTTTTGAACTACAGTTGTTATTAAATCTCTTTAATAAAATGAGTTTTTTCCTCGGCCTGGGTCCTCCTCACGCCTCATTTGGTCACGTATAAAGGGAAACCTACTGGAAAGGTACTGTAGAAAGGGGTAGGATGGGTGCTCTGAAGGCCTGTAGCTACAGTGGGACATTTCAAGGCAATGCGGTTGCGTGGGGGGGGGGGGTGAGAGAAGGAGGGGATCCTCCTAGGTTACTCTGAGCCAGTGACTGACTTCCGCTTTCGCCCACCCTCCACAATAGGGGAAATAACTCTGCTCCTGCCTGCGAGTGTGAATTTATTTTATTATGTCAGTACCCCCTGACTTATTTAAAGGCCCCCCAAATTACAAAATCCTGGCTACAGGTCTGGTGCTCTGGGGCCCTCCCAAGGAGACCCATTCCAGAGTGGAGGCAGCCATTAGAGAACCTTCCTAGCCGCTGCCTGTGACAAAGAGGCTTAACCAAGAAGAGGTTGTTTTATGATTCACTAACCTTATGATTCCTTGTTTTACCCCTCCCTCCCTTTGCAGTGCTCGCAAACCTGGCAAAGAACTACGTGGAAGCGATCAACAGTGGGCAGGTGCCTTGCTTGGAGAACGCCGTGCAGGCCCTGGCCGAGATTGAGAACACAGCTGCTGTGCATGAGGCCATTTCCCGTTATGAAGAGCTGATGGAGAAGCGGATGAAGCTGCCCACAGAGACGGTGGAAGAGCTGCTGGGGGTGCATGCTGCGTGTGAGAGGGAGGCCACGGTGGTGTTCATGGCCTGTGCTTTTGGGGACCACATCGAAAAATTTCAAGCCGATCTTATGGTATGTTCCCTCTTATGACTTCTCAATGTGCTGTCATCTCATAGCCCTTTTCCAGGATGTCATGACAACAAACTAATAGTTAATGACTGAGCTGTAATAGTTAACAATTGAGCTGTAGGGGTGACCATCCCATTGCATAGTACCCCAGGGAAGGAATGTTTTCTCACTGTTACCAACACACTTATTTCTGGATCTTCTTGTTTTGGTAGCGTAACCTGCAAGAGAAGAAAAAGGAGTTTTGCAGGAGGAATGAACAGGTGTCTTCCGACCGCTGCCTTGCTGTGCTTACGGATCTTTCCCGGGAGCTGGAAGATGGGATCGCCAAGGGGATCTACTCTGTGCCTGGTGGCTATCAGCGTTTCTTGGAAAATCGGCGTGAAATAGAGGAGACATACCGCCTGACACCTGGGAAAGGGATTCAGGTAGGGCACAACTGAGTTTCTTTGAGATCTGCTTCTGAGCAATATTGAGACCGATGGGTTATTGATCAGAGGAAGGATGAAATGACTTTGTGTGTTGACCGGTCAGCAGTGTGGCGGCTCTGGGCCGGAGGGGGAGGCTCTGAGGCAACTGCCTTCTGGATGGAAGAATGGCCAATTCCCCACTCTGGCGTCTCCTATAGATCCTTTAAACCCCAACTGCTCACGATCAAATAAAAAGGGGGACAGAAGCTTTGATTAAAGGATTGGTGGTATTCTTGCTCTGAGGCTAGCTGGCAGCTGAGTCCTGTGGAGGTAAGTGATCAAACGCCAGTCTGCTTTATGCTCAGATCATTTTTATTTGGCTCCTCATGCATTCAAAGGACCATTAATTTAAGATCCGGCTGGTGAATGAGTGAAAGGGTTTATCTTTAATGTTTATTCATTTATTTATTTCAATTTATATCCCGCCCTTCCCGCAAGTGGGCTCAGGGCGGGTCACAACAATAGATTACAATAAATTACAGTCTTCAGTAGTTCAGAATAAATAAATATCTGACATTAAAACAGTAAAAACAAATTAAAATGGGGAATTGCAACAGATTTCAGATTATAGTTCCTACAGCCAGGAACAAATGGGCAGAAGCTGAGCCATAGAGGTCTTGTTAATAACAGCATATCACTAGGGCTGCAACAAGGAGGCCTACTGCCTCAACCAAAAGCCGGGCAGAACAGCTCCATTTTGCAGGCCCTGAGAAACTGTAACAGATCCCTGATCTCAGTTGGGAGCATGTTCCACTAGGCTCGGGCAAGGGCAGAAAAAGCCCTGGCTGAGGCTAGGCAAATGTCCCTCGTGCTGGGGACAACCAGCAGATGGTTGTCCGCAGAGCACAAGGCTCTCTGGGGCACATATGGGGAGAGGCGGTCCCTAAGGTATGTTGGTCCCAGGTCGCATAAGGCTTTAAAGATCAACACTAACACCTTGAAACGGATCTGGTACTTGATTGGTAGCCAATGCAATTGGTGTATCACCGGCCGAATGCACACCCACACAGATGTTGCACTCAGCAGCAGGGGTGTGCATTCGGTAAAGCCAAACTGAAATAAACCCCAAAAATTCCTTTTCGGCATTTTTTCAGTATTCAGCAAGCCAAATCAGAATCTGATTTATTCGGTATTATTTGGCATTGCCGAATACAGACTTCGGGGGGGGAGTTAAACTTTAATGGGCTGCACTTACCTTCTTTTCCCCACCTTTTCTGTCTCTATCCCACCCTTTGCTCTGCTTTCCAAAAGGGAGGGGGAAGAGGGACCTTACATACAGCCAATCACTGCAATGCATTTGCAATGGCATTGCTGCTTGCAAGGCTGTTGTTGCTGCTGGCTTTGAACATGAAGCCCAACTACTAGTTTGCTTTCCCAGGGACAAAAGGGGGGAGGAGCACTGGCCAATAGGATTACAGGTAAGGGTGGGCACACTGCTGTTTGGCCAATTTCAGAAGTTTGGGGTTTTTTTGAATTTTTTCTGTGTATTGTTGTTGTGATGATTCTGTGCTTAAATTGACATCAGTTCTCCTGTTGAGCTGACATTTGCCACAGTGGCACTGAGTTCAGCTGGTAGGTTGGCACTGGGCTCTGCTGCTGATCAGTAACACTAGAACATTGCACTGCATCTGCTGCTCGCCTTCCAAACATGCCCCCTATACTAAAGAGATTCTCAGATTTGATCTTAGTCCTGTTGGGCTTTGGCACTGCTGCAGTGGCACTGGTTTTGGTGGGCACATTGCACTGGTTCTGCTGCTGCCCTTGCAAACATACCCCCTCGCCACCACACCTCAGTTTCTACTGCAGAGATTCTCTGGGAGAAACTGCTGGACTGTTATTCTACCTGCCTGCCTTTGGAAACAATGGAAGACAGGAACACCTTCTTTGGATACCCCTAGAGTTGGACCCGCTGGTCCAAATTTTTTCTAACTTGGAGGTTCTTTTAGGGAGAGGCTCCAGCAGCTACAGTACAAATTTGGTGTCTCTACCTCAAACCCTCTCTCCCCCAGCCTACTGAATACTCCTTAGATTTTACCATTGACTACAATGGCCCCATTAGATATGATGGAGCTGATTTTTTTCAGTATTCCCGAATATTTCGAGATACCAATACATTACCAGTATTGGTATTTGGGTATATTTGGGAATACTGAAAAAATTCAGCTCTATTATACCTGAATCTGAAAAGTACTGATTCCCCCCCCCCCCCGCCCACCCCTATCCACAGGGCCCG